CATTTGGAAAGAGGTGAGAAGAAGAATATTTCCTTTGACTGCAAGGGTTCAAGAGGTATCTTCAGAGGGTTTGAGAATTGAATTTACAAATACGTGATTTCACCTGTTTTTATTTGATTATGGTAATATATAATGTTACAGGATCATCATATTGGTTAAAAACTATTAGATAAAAATTAAAAAGGAGAGTATGGATGTTCATCTCGAGTATGGTAATTATTTTTTTGTGGTTTTGAGTTTGATAATGAATATGGTAGGAATTTTTAGCAAAAAAAATTTATAAGGTCGATGGAGAGGCGATCAATGATAAGTTAACAAACGTGAATTCATAAAGTTCTTCAATGTATGAATTAATGTTGATAGATAATAAGAATGTGTTACACGGTTGGAATAAATTGAAATTCTTCATTGTGAATTTAGATTTGTGGTAGTGTGTTTTGTCAAGGTATGGATTGGTAGGCTAAGAAATGATTGATCACATTAAGTATGAAGCATTTGGAAGGACTTATGCATTTTTGAATAGTAAATTTAGTTACTTTTGATTGTTATACCGAAGGGGGATTACACATTATATTTTGATTTAGAGGATAACGTAAAAATATCATGGGTTGTTGGTCAAAGGATAAGATTGGTAAGCGAGTGACCTAAAGGAATAAGAGTTAGTGTGTTGAAGAGTTCAAGATATTCATAATTTTGTGTTATGGGAAGAATTTAAGAGAAGTTAAGGAATAAGACCTCTAATATAGAATTCTTGGTTCGAAGTTGAAGGATGTATGAATTTACATATATAAGTTCTAATATTTCTATGGATGTGAATTTGTTCGGTATAGGCTTACCAGGAATTTGTCATCAATTTTTATGAATATAGAATTTTGATTTGGGTGAAAAACAGTGAGGTTGTAAGATTATGTATTCTTATGTAAGCTAAAAATTTTCAAATTATGATAGGTAATTTATTTATGTTAAACAGTGTGGACCTATAGTTTTAAATAATTAATGAGGATATCAAAACTACTTCGTTGATGGGACGTTACAGACTGTTATGATGTGTTACATAGGCATTCGATAGTGAGTAGATGTTATGAGGTTATGGTATATTAATTATTAGAGTAACCAAGAATTTTTTAAGTATTGGTATGAGGTATACGATGGTTTTGAATATTAATGAAAATTTTGTATCCGAATATTTTGTGGAATTGACATTATGTTTGATTCAATGGTTGTATCTCGATGGTAAAGTACTTTTAGATCTGAAATTAGTGCTATCAGTCTCAATTGTGACCTGTATTTTTCATGAAATGCTTAAATGGAAAAAAAGAGGGAGACATAGTTTTAAAATTACGGAGGCGATAATGTGTTTGTTAAGAAGATTTTGATACTAGAAACAATTTGGGTAAATGACTGGTGTACTTATGTTTTTTGTTGGTATTAAGAATATTAGCTTAAATGGAAAACTGTAAGAAGTATGTTGGGTCTAATAAATCGAGTATAGGTACAATCTTAATGAAACCAAACTGGTGAATTAAGTCTAGACAATATAAGGATGGACTAAATGAAAATGTTGATATGGGCACTATGGAGGGAAAATTGTGTTATTCGGTTTTGGTTTCGTGCATCTTTATTTGATCCACTTTCTTTGTTCCAGACATGGTTTAGAGTATGATTCGTTGCATATGCTCATATATGTTTCTATATCTGTGGGTGAACCCTTAGTGGTACATCAGATGTACTGATCCTCTTATGTCCCCGATCCTCTTATGTCCTCTTAATAGGGTCAGATCTTTCGGAAGACATTGGTTATTTCAGCTATGATAGATCTGGTTTTCATTGGGATAGTTGAAGTATATAAGTAGGTCTACATTTATAACCTTGCTTATGAGAACTCATATAAGACGTATGAAGAGTTAAAATAGTCTAAGAGTGTTGTTAGAGGTTCTACATTTGAAGTGTATCGCGTGTTGGGTGTTTACTTAATCTTATGTTTCTTTGGGTTAGATAAGTTTGATTCTACCTTGATGGGTACCCGATGTTTAAAGATCAGATTTTTATAACTTAAGCTCGTGAAAAGGTTGTGATGTATAAAGAAAAATCTTGATAAAATTTGTGATAGTGAGCATTATAAGTATGTGATGGTTGATTAAAGTTTACTTCTGGTTGTACTCTATATCGATTTAGAATGTTATCTTGTTTATGTGAGACAATATTCATCATGATGGTTGTGCTAAGATCCAATGGGTTTAAGTTTAGATTGGGTTCATGGGTTAGTCAGTGGCTTGATTATCACTCCTGATTTGTAGATGCTCCAAAGTTTGATTTAAGAGTGTAGCTTTTAGTAGTTGATCTTGATGGAATGGTCTTAAGGAGGAGCTCACTAAGAGAGATGAACACTGACTGGTGGGTCTTAACTCAGGCTTTTGATAACATCGATTATTATTTATTTTACTTTATTATGTTCGAGGATGAACATGATTTTTAGTGGTGAATAATGTAATGACCCTCTTAGTCGGTTTATGAATTTTACCAATTTTTATAAGTTAAACATTTTTAGTAACTTTTATAAATAATTTATGAATTATGAAAATGAGTATTATAATTTATAAAATACATCAAGAGTTATTTAAGTTTTATTTAATAACAAAATAATAATAAATGAGCTACACCCAATTGGAAAAAATTAGGGTTAAAAATTGTTGTTGCTTCGTAGCATTCACGCAAAAAGCAGAAAAAGAAAATAGAAAGGGAGGCGAAAGCTTAATTGGCTGGTTGTTTGGGAGAGGTTTTGCAATACAAAAAAGAAAGTATTTACTCGTGTCGGATGATGTGTGGAATGATGATCAACACAAGTATTGTTTCAGTAAAAGAAAGGAAAGTAACGCAAGGTTTAGCTTATTGGAATGCCTTTAATTTCTATAATTTACTAGCATCATGTTATAATATTAGTGAATAACAATTGTATTAATATTTTAATGGTAGTAGTACGTAATTCACTTAGGGCCAGGAGACAAAATTGAGTGGGATGGCAGGACATTGTTATTGTTGTTTATATTATCATATAGGATTCAATTTTAATAGTTCAATATTGGTTAATAATAAATGGCAAGGCCTCAGTCTAAGATTAGGTAATATTAGACTAAATGATAGGAAGGAATGTTGGTGATGAATTGATGGAATTTAATATAAAAATAATTATATAATGATATTCAATGTTGGATAACAGTGTGTTTTATGCATAATATTAATGACGGTTACCGAATGGTTTGACTACGATCAATTTCAAGTCTAGCTGCTAATGTGCGTATATCGCATAGAATTATCACAATAATTTTGATAAATAAAGGTTTTAGGTCTAGGGTTCTTAAAATGAAATTGTGTTAGCCTTTTTTTTTTGGAGAAAGTATGATTTAATCCTATACTTGAAATCTAGAAAATATGGAAATTAACATGTTGGTTGGAATAAAAATCTAGGAACTTTATTATACATTGGAGTGAGTTTCTTATACATTGGAGTGAGTTTCTGGGTAAAGGCTAGACACATAATAACACGTGTATTCTTAGTTTTGAAATCTTATCGTGGTCATTTATTTGAATAGATTGTTTTGAGTTGGAAGTTCAACGTAAAGGAAAGACTCAAGTCCCGAGATTATTCGACTAATTGAGGCAAGTGGATTTCAAAACTCTTGTTAAGTGTATGAAATGCATGTACTTCTTTGTGGTATATGTGTGGGAGTAATGGGACTTGTTGATGGGTTGACTTGTCCACATTGAATAATTCTAATGATGGAAAACAAAAGGTAATAAAAGGCAATGTGAGTAATTGCTTGTGTGTGATGTGTTGATAATAAAGAATGGTTTGAAATGTTTGTTTAATCATTTTTTATGTTGTTGTGAGTTGTGCAGTGTTATGAAAATGGTCATATCCTCTTTATTTGTGTGAACATGTCATTTGCATTATTTTATGACATGGTTGCGACAAGTGTTATGTGCATTGAGAAAGAATGAGAACTTAAAGAGGATGTACCATTTTGAGGGACGTATCACGCGCCGCGATGGATACTATATTTCGAGAGACGTATCGCGCGCCGCGATGGATACAATATTTTGAGAGACGTATCGCGCGTCGCAATGGTTACTTTTATCGAGGGTCGTGTCGAGCGCCACGACAGATGCATGGACAGATATATCCCCCATGGGTCCCGAACTGAGAGACAGCGGGTGTGTATCACTAGGTCAGACATACATCATTATACTTGACATTGCATTCCATTGCATTGCACAAACTTATCATTAGTGAACTTGATATCGTGTTTTACTGATCTTGTGATTGCCTTTCTGCGGAATTGGTGATTGATTAATATTGAGCTTGTTATTGAGGATATGTAATTTTTTGAAGTATTGTTGTTGAGGATACGTGATTTATTGAAGTATTGTTGTTGAGGATGTGTAATTTGTCAAAGTGTTGTAGTTGAGAATATATAATTTGTTTAAGTGTTCTTGTTGAACTATGTGCACTATAAATCGTGAGTTGTTAGGTTGGGCTTATTTTTATGCAAGTTGTAGTTGTGGAGGTTCAGTTGGGGTTGGTAGGAGTACCTGTATTTTTTTCTATGGCTTGTGCTTAGAGGTTTACTTGCTGAGTACTGGGTAGTTTGGTACTCACCCCTTGCTTCTACAATTTTTTTGTAGGTTATTAAGCCTGGATTTTTGTTGTACTTGTCATTCTCTTCTTTTCCGAGGCTTCTTGGAGATTTGTGAGGTAGTTGTTTGTTGTTTCAGCGGACTCTCTTTCTTCATAGTTTTGATCTTGTTCTATTCTAGAAACAAGCTCATTTGAGGCTTATATTTTCGTTTGATTCAATTGTAATACTTTAGAGGCTTGTACACGTGACCACCAGGTTTTGGGGTATAATGTAAGTTGATAGTAAACTTTTCGCATTTTATTTTAATAGTTGAGTTTTAAGATGACTTGTCTTGGTGGGATAAGACCAGTGTCATCACGTCTATTTTTGGATCGTGACAAAAGATGAATCCATTTAATTATTAGATTTCCATAATAACATAATAGTCCTAAACATCTAAAGCACACATATCTATCACTACTTATTACTAACACACAAATAGCCTGAGGCCGGATCGTGAGCGAACGCATTGATCTTAGCTTGACATCCCAAATCCGCCTCTAAATACATACATATATCTCTAGGGGTGGCTCGGAGTGTGGCGATTATTCGCTCCAGAACTTGGATAGTCATTGACCTCAGCATCCATTCTTCTAATGACAACATCACCTAGTTTCATATTCTCGGCCTCCATATTCTGCTGATAAATATTTGACCAAAATAAAATAATAAATTAAGAAAGGAGTAATATTGTTTCTTCGAAAGAAATAAAGAAGATAGACAAATAGTTACCATAGTTTGTGTGTTCTCATGTTGTTGAGCTTTGTACACTAAATTATTGCGTCCTAACAATGAAAATAAGTATATGTAACACAACCTTAAAAAAAACAATATATATGTATTGATGGATGTTAATTAATTTGAAATATAACTTACTTGTAATTGGGATGGC